GGGGGACTCTTTACGGAGTGTAGGCGATATTTGTTAGGTGAGATGGTGGTAGGAGTGGGAAATGAATAATATAGGGAGACTGTGCAACTCTTTTTGGCGTGTACGTTGTGGCATGCTGTTGCCTGGGAGGGGAGGGATGGGGTATTGGCACACACACACACACACACACACACTCACACACACACATGCACACATGCACACACTTCGCATGAAATGTATCTTAAATGTCTTTCCTCTTGCGGGTAAACACCCAGCGTTTCCCTGTTTATTGAAGAGTGGAGGAGATTCGAACTTGTGTCGTGCGCTGGAAAGTCAAGTCGTGAATGTGGAGGCCTGCATGGTGGTAGAGACCTTGGTGAAGAAAAACGTTTCTTTGGTCCTGCTATGGTGGTCTCGCGTTCTCCTCATTTCATGACTGGCGTTTGGGAAAACGAATTTACGGTATTCGTTCGCCATATCGCGATTCATTTTACGACCCCGGTACATTACGGTTTGTTTCTCTAGATGACTGTTGAAAAAAGGATAACTTGTGAGACTCTGTTGCTGTACAGTCAGCCTAGGAAATCATTGCAACAAATTCTGATGTTTTATTTTTGTAAGTACCGTACCTATGTGTCTCCCCTACTCTTTAAGTGTACTCCAGAGTGTTTATAAAACAGTGGTAGTTGTTCTAAAGAGTGTCGGGAGTGTTTATAAAGACGTAGAATACGTCATGGATATACATGGATTTATATCATTTCCACTTAGCGGGTTTTCTGGAACGTAACCACCTCGGCCATCGAGAGAATACTAAATATAGTGTAATATATACCGGTGTGACTCAGTAACTCGTGCCCGTGCTAATGATTTTGTTTATCTGATCGTCAAGGGGGGAAAGCTTTGTATAACTGGAACGTTAGCAAGTGGTTCAAACTGTCGACGCCGGCACTTATATTATGACCGATTTGTGTGTTGAAAGTGCCGTAAAACGCTTACTTAAAAAATAATATTGGCCTGTGTTCGTTTTTAGAAAGGACTGCCTTGTACTGGAAAAGATAAAAATGAAGGCGGTGTTGATTTTATGAGGTTTTGTTTTGAAAGACTGTTATGATCAAAATGTGATCATGTGAGATTGTTTTGATCAAAATGTGGCCATGTGAGATTGTTGTGATCAAATTGTGTTAATGATAGGTTGTTATGATCAAAATATGTTCGTTTTATTAGCTTATGACAGGAAATGTAAAAATGTTGTTTCTGATCAAAATGCAGACACCGGTTGTTTCGTAAGGTTTTATTGTGGAATGGAAAAGATAGAATTATATGATAGACTGTGTCCGTTTTTTATTGAGGTTCTGTTGTAAAATTTTAATGTTTTACGTTTATGAGTTTATGCTGTGAAATGGAATAATAAGTAAAAAAATACATGTATTTAAGACCTTGTTAGTTATGAGATTCTGTTGATATGCAGTTTTCATTTAATAATAATATATTGTGTTGTCAAATGTAGAAATGTAATTGATTTAAAATGGAGGGAGTGTTAGCTTTTTGACGTTCTGTTTTCGAATGTGGAAATTTTATTAATCAAAGTGCAAGCGGTATTAACTTTCTAAGATTCTGTGGTGAAATTTAATAGTCTACAGACAGCGTTAGTTTTATAAGATTCTGATGTGAAATATGGAAATATACATTATATATCAGAATGGGACAGTGTTACTTTTCTGAGATTGTGCGGTGAAATTTTATAATCTACGTTCAGGCAGCATAATTAGTTTTATGGGACCCTAATGCGAAGTATGGAATTCGGAAATGTTAATGATCACGTGCGGTGATGTTAGTTTTATGACATTCTGCTGAGGGTCGTTTTGTGGAGTTCTGTTGTGAAATGTTGTAACTTACTGATTTCCACACTGGGAGTTTTGAGAATATTTTTACCTCGTGCATTCCAAGCTTTTCTGTGAATGTCTCCTCTTGCCTTTTTATATTGGATTCCGTGAACACATGTAGTTGACACGACAACAGATAATAACAATATGCTTACGGTGAGTTGATGCATCTCTGTGTGGGTGCTTGGTGGGTGGGTGCTCTGATTTGGTTTGCTCCTTTCATTAAACATCTATTTCCCCTGTCTTTCCTGCCCCCTTTTTTTTTTCTTTTTCTTTTATGTACGTTACCCTCTTGTAAACATCTAAATTCCGGCACTTTTATGACCGGGGGCTCTCGTGGCCTAGAGGTTAAGGTGTTGGCCTCTCATTCAAAGGTCCCGGGTTCGAATCCGGGTAGCGACCGAAAAATTTTCTTCCCATAAAATTGTCTCCTTTCACCTCCTTTCCTAGCAATGTTCTGTTGTCTGCTTTCAATTCCACTTTCTGCCCCCACCCCATCACCTCCTTTGCCCCCTCCTCTGGGCTCCTGACTCTTTATGCAGCCTTTCTACTGCTACTCCTTGGCTCCCCCTTACTGCTGTCTTTCTGCCACACCCCTGATCTTCTGGTAGGAAAGATCTACACCTAGCCTTCTCGGACAAGGGCGAAAAATCTCGGAGGGCCCGTGTGCAAGTTGCGCACGTTAAAGATCCCTTGGTGGTCTAAAATCGATAAGAGTAGGCTTCGGCCGCCACCCGGGCAAAATTCAAAATGTCCTACCAACTGAAAATATTAGGTGTGTCCTGCGCGCTCATATGACCTATGCAGTTGCGAGCGCCGTAAAACACTTTACAAAATACAAAAACAAATTTTATGACCTCTTTGTGTTGCAAGTGCTGTAAAACTCTCACTAAAACGCGGATTGTTGGCAAGTGCTCTTGTGTGGTTTGCCCCTTCTTTCCTATCAAACATCTTTCGCCCTTATATCTCTCCTCCTTCTTTTATTTGTATATTACTCTCTTGTGAAACATGCTAATTTTCGTCACTTATACACTATTAGGACCTACCTGTTTTGCAAGTGTTGTAAAATACCCCCCGGGGCGGTGCTTCTGACTGAAGAGTCTCTAGGCCATTCCCAAAGGGGGGAAATTAACCTGTTCTTATGCACAGTAGAATTGTAAATGGGCTGATTCATAGATGTCATGCTCATAACTGTGCCTGAACTGCATCAGGGAACTACTGCTTTTTCTTTCCTAATCCTTACTGTCGTCTTTTTGCCTCTATTCCTTTGGTATGTGTGTCACACTCTTGGGAACCGTTATTTCCGGGGTGCCTTGATAGTCTAAGTAGGCTTTGTGCTGTTGAAGCTAGAGAGGTGAACAGAGTAAGTCTGATTCCTTGTAAGGACTTCTCTGTTAACATCCACCCCTTGGCGCTCATGTGACCTTATGCATGTGCGAGCTCGTAAAACCTTTGCTAAAACTAAACACTAAAAGTCACGTAAAACTCCTACTAAAACTTTAATTGATTAACACTCCGTACTTATTCGTTAGCCAGGATACTGCAACAGTCTTACTGACGTCTGCCTGTGGTGTAGCGGTAAGGCTGTCAGCCGTTGCAAGCTGAAGACCTCAGTTCGATTCCCAAGTGAGGAGAATGTTTATCGAATGCCTCGGTGTGTCTGCCGAAGCGTTGTCTCCTAACAGTGTCGATGGGGGTGTAACTCATCTACAATTGCACGTCAATGTTTGGTTTAAGTTGGCTGGTGTTTTGTTTTGTCATGTTATGTTCGGTTTTGTTAATTTGTTGGTGTCGCTGTTTTGTTTGTTTTCTTTTTTTATTTTTAGGGATTTTATTTGTATTTTGTTTTGTTTGTTTGTTTGTTTGTTTGTTTGTTTTGGGGGTTTTTTAATTGGGCGGGGGGTTGAGGGGAGGGGATGTTTGGTTTGTCATTTTGTTTTTCTTTGGTAGTTGCTGTTCTTCTGGACTTTAAGTGGTTGTTTTCTTCCCCTGAGGATACCAGAGGAAGATAAAAGTTGTTTTCTTTCTTTCTTTCTTTTTTTTGTTGTTGTTGTTGGGTGTTTGGAGGAATGCTTCCTGTTCGTAAAATGACAATGTAGTTTCATCATTATGCAAATGTTGCATTCCGCACTTGCGCTGTCGCATGTCGGCCGTCATGGCTATGAGTTAACTGTAATGGGCGTTGCTGTCTGTCAGCTGGAGGGAGAGAGAGAGAGAGAGAGAAAGAGAGAGAGGGGGGGGGAGACACAGAGAGAGAGA